CGATTCTTCTTCAGAGCGATTGCGATTTTGAAATTTCTCAAAGCCAACCTATCTGCATCCGTATGGCTTCAATCTTGTAGTTTCTCAGAGCGATTTTGATTTCAATTTTGAAGTTCGATTTTGAGCACTGCCGTCTACAATCTCAGAAAAACCAATCGAATCCTTCAAAATCTACTTCAGCTCCGTGATTTATCTCAGAATGACATCTCAGCGATTTCGATTTTGATTTCAAAGCTCGCTCTGTCCCTCGATTTCGAAGGTCTCTCTTTTGATTTGGTTGTTGATTTTCATTTGTGCAAATCAAGGCATTGCATATGCAGCCATCAAGGCATTGACAGAAGGCACAAAGGTTCAGATCTCTCTCTCTTTCTATATATATATATATATATATGACTATCGTAAATCTAATTTAGTGATTTTGTTTTGTTTGTGTTAGTTCAGTGATTCTATATATATATATACTATAACCCTCTTCTGTTTTATTGATTTGGTTATTACCAAGTTTTGATTCTGTAATCCGATAATATTGCTCTGTTTCAGTAATTGATGTTTTGTTTGTGTGAAATGTTTTGATGTTCTTGATGTTGCTAGTTGACTTGGTTTATCATGAATTTGCTAATGTTCAATGATCCACTAATCTAGTTATAGTTGGTAGTCAATAGTGTTGAATCAATTTTGTAATTTGAGTTATTCAAACTTGAAATCTTGATTTCCAGCTTAATCCCGAGTTACCTGTGAACATATTAATGATTTCGAAATACATTTGAATTAACAGCCTATATCCCTTTCCCATTTTGATGTCTTTAACTTCCATTGTTGTTGGTGAGTTGGACTCTTGAAGAAGCTCAGTTCAAGAAAGAGAGTAAGAAAGAGAGAAGAAAATTCTTCTCTGTTTTCTTGGGAAAATAATGTGAAGTAAAACTTTTTCAAGGCTACTCTCTCCCTATTGTTCACACACACACACACACACACACACATATTTACTGGGGGCTTGAAGAGGAAGAATAAGATTCTGTCAAAGGATTCACACAGAGTGTGAACATAGCTTGGTTAGAGGAAAATGTCAATGTGAATTGGTGTGAAAGTGTTATGAACTCTTATGTATTGCTGTCTTTCTTTCATTTAATTTGTTAAAAAAAAAAAAAGGACTTTTATTTATGACATAATAGACACCAATATTTTAGATTCTACAATTGAAAAGGCCTTAACTTGTAGTCTTTGCATATCATACCTAGCTAAATAACACAAGAAACATGCAGGGAGAATGATGCTAAACTTTCTTCCTCAAAGCATATGACCTTTAAGAAAACTCTTCAACACCATTAGTTCTTGTTTCTTAATTAGAATTATTTGTTATATTTTGTTTTCTTTTTCAAAGAGAGAGAGAGAGAGAGAGAGAGAGAGAGAGAGAGAGAGAGAAGGGGGGGAACATGTAGGTAGTGTCAGTCTGTCATGTAGATTTAGATGATATATTTTGTTCACTCTGTCATAATGAATTTGGTTATTTTGTTTTGGGAATCTTCCTTCACTTTGTATATAATTCCATTGGGTTTATTCTAAAATTTTCTCAAAATTTAACTAATCAATTTTTGTTGATCAGCATCATGCAATTGCTGGGCTTAAAACATGCTTGGTGATACAATCCCAAGATCCTACTACTGACTATCTTCTAAATTGTAAGGTTGGAACTTCTCCAATCACATGCAACAATAACCTTTCGACTGTTAGGCTGGAAACTACTAAAGTGTGTTTTTCTATCTTCCTATACATTTCCCTATATCTGATACTGCTGTTTAAATTTAAGTAGTTTTGAATCTAGATAAATTGTTCCCAATAATTGCAGATGCTCGTCATAATATGACCCAAGGAGTGCTCAAAGGGGTAGCTATGTAACAATCATTTTGATTATTTGGATTTCTTGTGTTCGAAAGACATTATTTCCTCAATTATGCTTTTATCCATCACTACAGGAAATTGGAGATTTTACGGCGTTTAATTGACGACATTTTATGAAACGTCACTTTTTTGAATAATTAACGGCATTTTTTAAACGTTGCTTTTGTTGTTAATCAAAACGGCCCCGTTTTATAAATAGAAGACGCTTGGAAGCGCCTCCAAATGACAAACCCTATTTTGTCTCTCCACACCTTTATTTTGAAAACCCATCGCCGTCAAGTTCGAAGCTATCACTCACTCAAATCTCTCACTCTCTTGCTCTCTCTCGATTCTTCTTCAAAGCGAATGTGATTTCGAAGTTTCTCAGACCCAACCTATCTGTAGCCGTATGGCTTCAATATCGTAGTTTCTCAGAGTGATTGCAATTTCGAAGTTCGATTTTGAGCACCGTCGTCTACAATCTCAAATAAACCAATCAAATCCTTCAAAATTTGCTTCAGCTCCGTGATTTCGAAGTTTGATTTGGAACTCTTCGTCTTCTTCAATCAAAGGTTAGCGCTTTCGGTCCTTTGTTTTACAATCTCAGAGCTCTACAATCTCAGAACTCTAGATTGTGCTTTCGATCCTTTGTTTGGTTGCTGAGAAAACTTCTCATTACCTCTGAAATAACATCATATATTTGAAAAAAATCTTAGTTGTTCTCTGCTTTTGACTTCTCACTTTCTTCTCATGCTTTGATTAGGGATAACCTTTTTTACCAATTATGGACGAGTAAATTTATTAATTTTCTAAGTTTATTCAGCTCTAAACAGTGCAATTCTCATAGGCATTACGTAGTTCATAGGCATTCGTAAACAGTGCAATGCTTTGATCCAGGTATTCGTAAGTCTGTATTCTTTTGATTCGATTATGTCCTCTCTACATTTCCTCAATTCATCGCTCTTCTTTCTTCTCCTTTCTCACGTGTTCATAATTTTACTACTTTTCAACTCTTTTGTTTTTCTTTTTACTTTTTTGAGTTTCGGTTGACAATCTCGGTTCTCGAGAAAGAAGTGAAACTTTAATTGATTTTAATTGTATAGATTGATCGCAGAAAAACACTACACTTACAGTGCAGAGTTGAGTCGGAAAAATGAAATAAGGCCTACTTCATATGGATACAACTTAGAAGTGAATATATATATATATATATATATATTGAGTGCAATGGTGACACTGCCAATAGAAGATCTCAAATAAGGTCAGATAGACATTTATTGAGTGCAATGGTGACACTGTCAAGTGTCATTTGTGAGGTGTGACTGATGTTTTCATTGATTTACAGATGATAGCATGGCAATCTTTATGGCATTCCAAAGTCCACAGTTGGAGGTTTTAGGCTTAACCACAATATTTGGTAATGTTACTACAGAAGATTCCACTCGCAATGTATTACTTCTGGTATGTGTTTAGTTTATTCTATTTTCCAACACAGTAATTCATGCTTTGGCATAATTTCAGGTCTTTCATATTTTTGGAGCATGTTCATGACTGATAACTATTTTTAATGTTCAAAAGGACTGTGTGAGATTGTGCCAAAACTTTTTCCCCTCCTTCTAATAACATGCTCAATTTGTCAAACCTCTCTCTCTCTTGGGGGTGGGGTTGTGGTGGTGGTGGGTTAGTAGGAAAGCCTAGCTGACACAAAGAGGTGTTTCCTTCCCTGTTTTTTCATACGACTCCCGAAGCCTGATCTATGGAATGACTATATGGACAACCAAAAAAACAAGTGATTTCAAGTGAATGAGATTGTTATCCATAAGTGATGATCTTATTAGCCCTTCAAGAACAATTCAACTTATTACCTTTAAAATTTATTTTTTAACGGAGTATGCATTGGTTATCTCAAAATACATTGTCCATTTTTTTTAGTGAATCAACTTTTCTAAAACAAGACAAGAATATACGGATCCATGTTCTCAGTTAGTAGCATTTCCTTGGCGGAATATATGTGACCAGAATAGCTTCTCTTTCTAATATATGGTGTCTTTAGTCTGGGTAACTGTCAATATGAACATTTTAACAAGGTAAATTCGTTATATATTCATATCAATCCATTACTTCTCTTTCTTTGATTCTTTCTTTCTTGTCTTTTTTGTCCAATTTAATCCCAAACAATTGAAATAAGGCCTACTTCATATGGATACAACTTAGAAGTGAATATATATATATATATATATATTGAGTGCAATGGTGACATTGCCAATAGAAGATCTCAAATAAGATCAGATAGACATTTATTGAGTGCAATGGTGACACTGTCAAGTGTCATTTGTGAGGTGTGACTGATGTTTTCATTGATTTACAGATGATAGCATGGCAATCTTTATGGCATTCCAAAGTCCACAGTTGGAGGTTTTAGGCTTAACCACAATATTTGGTAATGTTACTACAGAAGATGCCACTCGCAATGTATTGCTTCTGGTATGTGTTTAGTTTATTCTATTTTCCAACACAGTAATTCATGCTTTGGCATAATTTCAGGTCTTTTATATTTTTGGAGCATGTTCATGACCGATAACTATTTTTAATGTTCAAAAGGACTGTGTGAGATTGCTGGATGTCTAGGTCTTCCTGTGGCAGAGGGTATCCCTAAGCCTTTGAAGGTAACTGCTTTTACATATAATTTGTGGCTTAATCAACGAGTTGTCCTTCATTCCTTCTCCACAATTGGACTGTGCCAAAACCTTTTCCCCCTTCTAATGACATGCTCAATTTGTCAAACCTCTCTCTCTCTTGGGGGTGGGGTTGTGGTGGTGGTGGTGGGTAGGTAGGAAAGCCTAGCTGACACAAAGAGGTGTTTCCTTCCCTGTTTTTTCATACGACTCCCGAAGCCTGATCTATGGAATGACTATATGGACAACCAAAAAAACAGGTGATTTCAAGTGAATGAGATTGTTATCCATAAGTGATGATCTTATTAGCCCTTCAAGAACAATTCAACTTATTACCTTTAAAATTTTTTTTTTAACAAAGTATGCATTGGTTATCTCAAAATACATTGTCCATTTTTTTTCGTGAATCAACTTTTCTAAAACAAGACAAGAATATATGGATGTGGAATATATGTGACCAGAATAGCTTCTCTTTCTAATATATGGTGTCTTTAGTCTAGGTAACTGTCAATACGAACATTTCAACAAGGTAAATTCGTTATATATTCATATCAATCCATTACTTCTCTTTCTGTGATTCTTTCTTTCTTGTCTTTTTTGTCCAATTTATTTTCTTGTATTATGTGTATGTTGCACATCTTCATATTGCGCTTAAAAAACGAACATGGGAAAATTTACGAGTTGTTTTTCATCAGGTGTTTTGAATTCCTTAGAATTATCTATGCTTAGTTGAAGCATTGGTAACTCATGTAGGGAGGTGCTGCCAACTATTCATGAAGAAAGGAGAACGTTGTCTGGTAATTATGGCAACAACAGTGATTCAGCAGTTTTACAAGTACTTGAAGAGAATTTATTTAAAGAAACCCATGCAACTAATTCAAATGAAAGAGATAATGGTGGTAGTTTATTGATGAAGCATGTTTCATCAGCTTGAGATAATGCAGCACCAACCTTTGCGGTTTGTTTTTCTGGAGCTTAAGCACAACTGTGGTTCTTTTTTTTATTATAACAATTTACTAATTGTGTCTTTGTTGAATATATGCTTCCAGGGTATGCCGAAAATGCTTTCAAACCAGAGGGGTAGTAGGACTAGGTCTAAAAGTGGTGGTTATCCACGGCCCGTGGTTTTTCCTTCATATCCTTTTCATTGTAATTTTCTATGCGACTTAATTTTCCCCATGAATGTGTTTGTTTGGGTTGGTTTTTCTTTTTCTTAATAATACACTTATTGAAAAAGCTTTAACTGTTTTGTACTCTTAAAAGGCCTGCAAATGCAAGCACAACAAAATCTGCAAAGAAAGAATCAAAGATTCCCAAAATACCTACATCAAGGTTAGGTGCTCATTCACTTCCTAAATCCAATAAGAATAATGTGCTCAGTACAAGCCACTCAAAGCATAATCAGATTGGTCAAACAGGTATACTTCAATTTTTGCTTGTCATACTAGACCGTTTGTTGAATCAAATTTATTGCCCGCATCAGAAAAAAATGGATTTGTTCAAAGAATAATCAGATTGGCTAACCAGGTTATTATTGTAACAGTAATAATTTTTAAAGGTAGTGATATGGTATTTCAGGATGATGCACTGCCTGATGGAACTGAACTAGTTTATTTGATTCTCATTGAGGTGTTTACTGTTTCAATATTTGTGAGCAGGTCAGCCCTTCTCAGTTTGAAGCACATGCGGGTTGGGCTTCTCGTCGCAAGCCGTGAGTGTTCTTTTGATGTTTTTGGGAGGTTTAGTGAACATGTGGTTTTTGTGACCATTTATACATCATTAGATAACTTTTTTTCCCGTAATGCAGTTACCTACACATCTATACATCAAATGGAGTGTTTCTCCATGAGTTGTCTTTGAAATTGTCACAACTGTAGAAGTTATCTGCCGAGGAAAACGATGATCTTTGCTCAATCTGTGCAGATGGAGGAAATCTTTTACTTGGTACTGCAAATATTGCGAAAACATGTTCCAGAAAGAAAATTTTGTGGAACACAATGCAAATGCTGTGGCAGCTGGAAGAATCACAGGAATAGATTCTCTAGAATAGATAACCAAGCGTTGCATCCGCATTGTTGAAACTACAGAGACTGATGTTGGTGGATGTGCACTGTGCAGGTTGTCTTCACACTCTTTTTTTCTCACCATAATTTCTCTTTAGAAGCTTAAGTTGTCTCTTAATAGTTTACATAAGCCTTCACCAATAGAAGGCTCTTGAAAATGGTTCCACTAAATAGAGACATTTTTCAATTTGGTTATAGAAATTCTTGCCTTCCATGGACCAAATGCATGCAAAAACTCTATTGTGTGGTGTCTTTTTGCTAAATTCTGCAATTCAGTTTTGTTTCTTTCTCTTTTATTTATTTTTTTCTTTCGTAATCAGCATTTGTAAGATTATATTTTTCTACACATTGATGATGCATGCAGGGGCCATGGTTTCAGCAAATCAATATTTGGCCCTCAGACAGTCATACTGTGTGACTAGGTATTTCGTTGATATACCAGTTTTTAGGTTTACTAATTAACATTGACATTACATGTGACACCTTCCCTCTTGGTTGTGCTTTCGACAAATCAATTGTTCATCACAAGGTGTGCTTTTTCAACCCCAAACTTAGCAAGAAGTTATTTAATTAATAATTTGACTCTTAACAAACTTGAATAAATACTATTTATGCAGTACTTCGAGTACAATTTGGATTCAAGAAATTCTACTTACAGCACCAAGAATGGAATTTGCTCAGAAGGTTGTGGACTAGATAATGTAATGATATTGTGGGGGCATGACGATTACATGTATTTGGTATGTGCCTCAGTTTCACCCCTTTAGAAAATATTCAAGTATTTAGTCAAATTTCGATCTTTAATGCTATAAAAATAGGTTGTTAATGTAATTTGGATTTTCATTTTTCAGGTGGCTAAGGAAAATGGAATGACTTTGCCTCCAGCTGCATTGTTCATCATCCGATACCACTCTTTTTATCGTAAGCATTTATGCCAAAATATTTTTTTCAAATTCCAAAATTAGTTTTTAATGAATAACATGAATATCTGGATCATTCGTCTTGCAGCATTACACAAGTCAGGAGCATACACACATTTGATGAATGCGGATGATGTTGAGAATTTGAAGTGGCTGAAAATTTTCAAGTAACCCCTTTTTTTTAGCATTTTGTTTTTAATTTCATGTGTTATGCCAATATAACTAACAAAGTTTACTGTTTTGCATAAACTTTCTTGAATTTATGCAGCAAATATGACCTCTATGGTAAGAGCAAAGTGCGCATTGATGTCGAGAAGGTCAAGCCAAACTATCTTTCTCTTATTGAGAAGGTGAGCACTACACTAGTCAGGAAACTAGGTGTGTAGAAACCATTTACAGAACAGTTCACTCACAAGGAGCATCTTATGAGTTCCGTGACTGGTTTCTATGCACATCTATTTTTCGAATTTTTTCTTTTTTTATCTTGATTTTTCGCATTCTTAATTAGTGAACTTTTTTTTGCAGTATTTCCCAGCCAAGCTGAGATGGTGAACATTCCAAATTGAAGACATTGATTTGAGAAATCACAGATTTTATTTTATTTTTCTTTTTGTGATTGATTCATGCACTTGTATAAAACACAACAGAGATTTGTGGGTTCTTTGTAAATCCTCTGATGTGTTCTAAAAATGTTCTATCAATAAACAATTTAAATGCATTTGGCGGGATGTAATTTCATTCATTTGGCATTTGTTTCTTTTAATTTCTACTGGACTGTTGATGATGAGCTTTTCTGTAGATATTATACTCTCTCTATTTAATGTTTTTGCCCAAGATAAAACATACACAGGTAGAATGATGTTGGGATTGAACTTATTGGATTTTTTTCTTGAAGGATGTTGTATTGGGTACAAAGTTTTATTCATTATTGCTATTTTACAGGTATATTTTTAAAGTTAAATCTTACAAAATTAGTAGTTTAAAAAAAAAAAT